TGACATTCTGATTGGCTAATAAACAAAGGAACTCACTGGAAGCCAATCAAATGCGCCATCTAAATGGCGCAAAATGTGGATCCGCTCCGAACCAGTTTCGAGCAAAAACCGCAATGGTTGGCGTTTGCAGCACATTTGCTTTTGCGACCGAAACAACTGTAGAGGAGCTGAAAAACTGCTCTAAAAACGAAACACTGCGAAAAGCACTGGTTTTTGGCTCTCTGTTTGGAAGAATTGGTGCGTAGATAAGGAAATTACTGATGAAATAGAAAATTATGAGCCGGCTGAGCTTAACACTTTGCTCGAGCATTTCTACGCCGAAATAATAAATTTTTTCAAAGACCACAATTTTGTTTGCCTTTGAAAAAATTTACTCGTGCTTATTAATTCCAAATTGCACTCGAAATCATGTGATTATCTGTACTAAATCGTGCAAATGAAAAGCAAATTAATTTCTAATGACATGTGCAGTGTATACGCCGACTGGCTCAAGGAACTTCCGGTCGATCGTGACTTCAAGAACGTGCTCTTTTTAAGATAATTTTGCAATAAATCAGAAATATCCTTTTCTTGGTTCGTCTTGTCGCTTTGTTATAAAATAAGAATAGTTTACATTATTATAGGAAATTAACGCTCCATTAAATTTAAGGTATTGGAAATTAACGCGACTTAAATGAACGCGAATTTAATGGCAAACGACTTTCGAATAAAGAGAATTAACGCAACAGGAGGTAGAATTTCGTAATAAAGAAAATTAACGCGATTAAGACACAGTTGGTGGTGACAACTGGAACAAATTTATTTCAACACCAGATGCCAAAAAATTCAAAACTGAACAAAACTGAGCTGACATCACTTCTGACTGCGACAACGATGAAGATGAACTCGAAATATTGTAAACGTTCGCTTAGCTTTTGTGAAAGGTGAAAAATAAAGGGTAAATGGAAAGAAAGAAAGTTCGTAGTTAATGTTTAATGTCTGGACAGGTTCCTAAATTTGGGTTAAAATGCTGGAAATTAAGAGCGCGGAAATTATCGCTGCACTTAATTAACGTTGCGGAGATTAACGACTTAAATTAACGCGAATTTTAACGATTCGTGTTAATTTCATGGAGTGTTAATTTCCTAAAATAAGGTATGATTTATTGAATTTGATTTATGGACTTAACAGGGAAGTTTGGAGGTCACTCAGCATCCTTTTTTTAGTTAATATGTAGTGTTTAATAACTAAAGATTTTAACGAACTGAAACAGGTCTACTATACTGTCATATGTACTATTTTTATACATGACTTCAACACGTGCACGTTAAAAATAAATACCGAGTAAATAAAAAAAAAAGATTATGATCTTTCAGAAACGTGTTAGAAAAGGTGCTGATAACAGATTTCATATACTACAGATAACCAAAGTATTGATGTCGCATAAGAATATACTTACCTACAATCTTGGACTTCAATCGTTATCNAAAAGAAAGGTCTTTTCTTGTGTTCCATTCCCCCAAAAAACGGTAAATTAGGGAATTTTACGTTGGAGGCGGGCAACGACCGCAGAAAAATGTACAAAAAAGCGTGATGCACGTACAAAATTGTTTTTTCCCCCCCCCCCCCGCTTCCCCCATGTAAGGGAATCCAAGACAGTCGTCGATTCTGGATTCCACGCCGTGGTCTCCGGATTCTAATTACTGGATTCCAGATCTTTTTCAGTGAAACTTGGATTCCGGATTCCTACTGCTGTTTTTCGGATTCCAAGGCCCAGGATTCCGGATTCCACGAAGAAAAATTTCCAAGATTCCGGATTCCACGAAGAAAAATTCCAAGATTCCGGAATCCGGATTCCCTTACATGGGGAGATTGTTTTGTCAATCTAAACCTACTGCTTTTTTGCCGTTCTCGTTGCCTTTGCCGTCGTTGTTGCCTAAGCTCCCTACATAACAATGCTACCCGGCATCACATTTTTTATCGGCCGTGTAGGCGTGCTTGTTCATGTGTGAAAGGCCCGCCGCCTTACTATAGAGTACGAATCTCAGAGAAACATCATGGCTGTCATCTCTTTTACTGGCCAATTAAACATCCATTCTGATGTTAACTTACCGGTTCTTCCGAGCGTTATTTAGTTTGTTGTTCCTCTATAATTCATACAGTGTACAGGGCTTAGCTTGGTGCTTGGAGTGCTTTTTGTACTCCGCTTGCCGTCAGTGTTTCCCTTTTTTTATCAGACGTGTCCTTAGTCTGACTCCTATTGTAGGAACCCCGATTGTAAAAACACTAATTTAAATTGCATAAAAAGTCAGAGTCTGAGGATTAAAAAAAGAGAAAGAAACGTTTAGCTACGTCTTAAGAGCCTGTTCTCCCTTTGGAGTGTTTGTGATCAGTATATTCCCTCGTACCAGGAGGAAACGGTACCAGTGAAACGAACGTATATTATCTAGCCAATTGGAGACGGTCCTAAAAAACACCTGTCATTGAGTAGCTATGAACTGCTTGTATATTTGCATTTTGCGAGTTATTGTCAAGCACACGGTTCAGCAGCAGGCGGCGGTTGTTTTTCAAACCTGAAGCGGTGAACAAAACTGAATTATAAAATAAAAGAAATGGTCTGTGCGGCGTAATGCAATTAGATACGGTAAGTGTTCTAGAAAATAACCGTACAAATTTGATAAACCACTGAAGAACGAAAGCCTTTCGTTCAATGTTTTTTGGCAAAGCATTTTATATTTTACAGTTTTTTTTAATTTTTTATTTGTTGATTGTAGGCGTCTGATCGTCTCGTCTTTTACTTGCCTGGAGCTATATTTAAACACATTGTTTAATTTTTAGAGTCGCCGACGTCTCCTGTCATATGTCACCTTTTGAGTAAATTACTATTTCAGGACTATAAACGCCTTACACCCTCAGCAGTTTAATTAATAAGCCCTGTCTGTTAAACTTTCCAGTTTCCGCCGATACAGAGAGACATCAGTGTTGTTCAAAATCTTCTGGATAACCGGGAGGCACTGAAGGAAAGATTAGGTAGGGGTGTACTGCCGATGCTTGAAACCCTGACCCTGTTTATGACAAAATCCGTTCATTTCATTAAGTATTATTTTGAAAAATGGTGACGAGGCTTCTGATCCAAGAGGACACCTTGCTCAAGGCACTAAATAGTTAAGTTCTTAACCCTTTTCAAGACACGAGAACCTGAAAATCATACCTTGTAGGACGGCTTATACCCGTGTAGGCCAAATAAGGAATCGCTACCCCCGCGTAGGACTAAATAAACACTTAAGTCTTTGCTTAGTGAGCAACGTTGTCTTAGGTGAAAATGCATTATGGATATAACGACGTTTAATGCGTAATTAAACGCTTTTAGTGTCCCCTAAAACTTGCTAGATGCTTTATCTTTCTTAGCTCAGTTGGAGCCAAATACGATTTCTCTACCAAAACAACAGCAAAACAAGCCCGGATTCAGGTGGGCTGTCAGCTGTCCTGTTTTCTTCGCTCAGGATGCGACTTCTCGACAATGGCTGCTATATGACGTCAAAAACGATCAAGGCGATGTTTTTCGCCCCCATATAAGGTAATCTGTGGAATTTTTGCTTGTGCATTCGGGAATCCTGGACCTTGGAATCCGGAATTCAGATTAAGGATACCGGAATCCCGCTAACGTCTGGAAAAAAAATCCGAGTTGTTCAAAAAGTGGGTAACGCTATTCAGTGGATAAATCTAACGCAAACGTTTCCCTAATACTTATCTACTGGATAGATAAGTCCATACCAGTCGATACCGCCATCTAACGCTTGAACAAAGAGGGGCCTGAAACTCAGACAAAAGAACTGATATATGTCTGACTGTGTCTTTTATCATAAAATGACAAAAGGCAGATAAACGTTACTAGTAAGTCGCCGATGTAGTTTGTGCACGTACAGTGCCAGCAACCGCCGCTACATCGACGGCAAAGACAACGTCAAAAAACAATTGGTTTTATGCGAAAAACAACAGCTCTGCACGTGCATCACGCTTTTTAGAACATTTCTTTGACGTCCACTGCACACCTAATGCCACGTTTCGTGGAAGACGTGAACATACGACGATAAATTTTTCACTGAATCTCTTGTTGAACCTGTAAAAACTCCTTTAGAATCCATCTCCAGGAGAAATTGCCTACATTTGACAAATTCATCCGGTCCACGCAGACGCGATGAAGTTTGAAAGGACGCAAAATAGTTTTTAGTGATGAAGAAAAGGAAAGATAAGAGACGACAAGGCCAATGTCTTAAACTTTACCAGTTAATTATAAGGCGCTCGGAAATTAACTGACAAAAGTATACAAAAAGTTTGGATCAGGAGAAGTACTTGCAGTAATGTATGTGATGTCGTGGGACCCGATACGTGGTAATGTATTGGTGTATCATGCAGTTAATGTGGCTGTGTAAATGAAGCAAGCAAATACAGTCAACTCTCGCCTTGCGGACACCACGTTATAACGGACACCCCGATAATACCGACAGCAGCTAAATCCCGGGCAAAAATAAATTACAGACGTTTGACTTAAATAATTTCCCGCTATTACGGACTCTCGCTTGTGAGGACACTAACTCGAGGTCCCAGTGAGGACACTTACTTGAGGTCCCACGGTGTCCGCCATAAAGGGAGTTGACTGTGAGGAGACTAGTTAATACATGAGTGTGAAAAATTATGTCTAATCAATGCAGTAAGTAGTTTGAAAAGCACCGTTGAGCTATAAGCAAATAATTGATGTACATGCACCGTCCATCCTTTTGAAGACATAGTGCCAGAAAATATTTAAATTAAAGTAGGCTTTTTAATGACTATTTCGTTTAAATTGATGAGATTTTCTTTCTCAATTTTAGGAGCTGCTTACTGGAACACATACAAGCTACTTACTGTTTCAAGAGAGTTTGGGAGATCAAGGCCGCATACGTGACGGATAATGATCACATGTTTATGTCTCTTGCTCAAGTCTTGTCTTAAATCAACACATTAGTCTCATAAAAGGCAAAATGAGAGAAACGGTGGTACGAACATTCATTTTCGTTTGCTTTTTATGTGCGACATTGCTGTTAATAACTGTGTTTTTGACCCCACTGGGTAACACCTTGCGCCAAACAATTCCAATCTCCCGACTGGCGTTAGGGAGACTAAGAAACAAGGAGCTGGAGTCAGCTGCAGAAAACAACACTCGCAACGTAACTCAGAAGCCCTTCGTGATACTGGTTTACACAGAATTCTTCGGTACTAAGGAGTGGCTAAAAATCACTGATGATTGTTCCTCACCGGAAATACCTAGAAACAGCTGCCGTAAGGACATGTTTGATTTGACGTACGATAAAAAGCGATATGCTGAAAGCGAATTTGTCATATTCCACGCCCGAGATATGCCTGGTGTGGATCACCTGAAAACGATAATGAAAAATAAGCCCTCGTCGCAGTTCTGGATTTATTTTTTACAAGAAAGTCCAAATGCTACTCCTGATACCCGACCTTTGAATGGAATGTTCGATTTGACTATGACGTATAGATCCGATTCAGACTTTCGGTGGCCTTATGGGTCTTATAGGGAGATCCCATTTGAAAAGACTTCACAATTAGATTTCTCCGTCGGGAAGGACAAACTGGTTTCCTGGATGGTTAGCAACTGTAACTCTCATCTCAGAAACTCGTTTGTTCATGAGCTTCAAAAGTACATTGCAGTTGATGTATTTGGATCGTGTTCGGGACAATTTGGCAAATCAAGGTCCTGTCCACATGGAGAAACTTGCAGAAATATTATTAAACAGTACAAGTTCTACCTTAGCTTTGAAAATGCATTATGCGAGGACTATATCACTGAAAAGTACTGGGGCCGTATAGGTAAGCAAGCTTATTTACGAAATATAGGAATTGATGGTAGCCCTGTTTTTAGTTTATTTATAAATAAAGTTACTGCTTATGTAGGTCAGCAAGTTTTTGTTGTTGTTGTTGTTTGTTTATTGGTGGGGGGGGGAGGGGTAAAGGAGGTGTATTATAGGCAAAAAATAACAGAGAAGTGTCACCGCACCTCATCCTGCCAACCCCCCTTTTTTATAAACAATATTTATTACAACATTTGCTCTAAGAGCCTAAAGGGCTCATCTAGAGAGCTCACGCTGTTTACATTAAATATTTAAAAAATACAAATGCACGTCACGATCGAACGCACACACTCTTAAAAAAGCGAAGAATAAAAAGAAAAAACAAAAATAAATTTTTAAAAACACAGCAACTAACAGAGCGATTTGATAGCGAAATAAACGACTGGACAAGGTGAAACAACCTACCATTTAAGAGGCAATCGATTAAACAACGCCTTTCGTTTTCTCTTTGAAATCGATTGGACATAGTACGTGTTACACATATTAGGCCGAGCGAGCTTCAGTGGTTGAGTCCGTCAGAAAAGAAGAACGTAAAATGTCTGAAAAGGAAAAACAAAAGATCGCTTGTAGCTTTTTCTTTTCACTTTCGCTTCTAACTGTATATGTTTAAGCTCGGCTCCGGTCTTGTTCGGGTGAAGGAGCGCGGGCTTATTTTCCGAACACCGGCTGGTAATCAAGCTTAGTACATGTCAAGACCTGCAAGAAAAATTCGGGGGCTTAATTAACTAACCGAAATGGAGCACCAAACTGCTTTTACAAACAACGAAGGGATGGTATCAACTAGGACGCAAAGTGGAAATACTCAAGCACATGACGTTAGAGGTCTTGCAACCAAAAATCAAAACAAGTCTGAACTTCCAGCATATGAGTTAACAGTACTGGATCACTCCATATTTTAGTAATTTTGTTGTGGAGAATAAGGGACGGGCCGGGGGAGGGGGGAGGGGTTAAAAGAGAGGGGTAGGCTTAATAACTTTCTTCCCCTGAAAAGGGGGGGAGGGGCTTATTTGAGAGGGGGCTTAATAGAGGATTTACGGTAATCATAAGTTTTAAGTCTCAAGGCCCTTATTTGCGGTTTTATCTTCATTACAGGAGATGAAAACGTCATACCAGTAGTCTTAGGAGGCGCCAACTACAGCAAACTCGCCATTCCAGGTTCATATATCAACGTTATGGACTTCAAAACGGTGAAAGACCTTGCCGACTACCTCCACTACCTTGACAAGAACAATACCGCCTACAATGAATATTTCAGTTGGAGACAAAAATATGGAGTAGGCAGAGAGGGGTGGTCCTTTCTTTGCATGTTCTGTGAAACTCTTAGAACCGATTTCAAACAAAGAGGCCGATATAAAGACCTGACAGGCTACTGGGTTGGTAAAGGAAGATGTAATGAAAAGGACGAGCGTGTTAGAAGAATGTGGAGTTGAGATGCTTGGAAAACTCCTCCACTTCACAGTGATATAGTTTGGTGATTGGGTGAAAAAGTCATCCATCCATCTATCTGTACTAGCTGGTTTCTAGCTGATCTAGCGCTTCGTCCGCGAACTCTTCTACGTAGACGTTAGGCACTAGTTGGTGATACAGGGAGCCTCATGGGTGCACCATAGTTGTTTATAGGTCTGACCGTCTTAAACAATTGAATTAAGTTTCTAAAGTAGTCACGAATTATTCCTAATTTTTAAACCATTGGTTAAAAAGGTAAACAGGTATGATAGACATATCTCGGTCTATGGGAAATCTCGCGAATAAAGCTGAGAAAAGCTAAAGAAGTCTAGCTTCATTTTCATTTTCCTCTAGCGCCCTTTTAAGACCCTGGGGTGCATATGTTGTGGTTTAATATTATCCTTGGTTTAATTTTTATCTCCTTTTGTCTTTTGGTATGGTAATATATGATAATGAATTTGAAACAAAAGAAAATAATAATGAAACCAAGGATAAAATTGAACCACAACACATATTTAGAATGAGGAAGAGGTTGTAATTTCCAAGTGCTTATTTTCTTCGGTGAATGTATAATATTTGCCCATCGGACAAGCATGTTGTCTTATAGTAATTGCAGTTTATTTCAAACGCGAAAAATTAAGTGAAATGTAACAAATGCAGTATATAATTGCAGTATATTTTTGTTCTGTTTTGAACTTGAGCAGTGGCCCATTTGGGTTCACAATGTGGCCGCCTATAGTTTTGAGTAATGCGTGGGTACTTTTATAAAAAGTTATCACAATTTCTATCTCCCAGTCACTGGATTACAAATACCATGTGCCATAGACCAGTGAGGGTCTGGTATGATATCCTTTGTTCCATGTTCTTCCGAAAGTAAATGAAAATAATTGTTTTTACCTGTTTATTATATTTGAAGAGATTGCTCTGACTAAGACTTAAGCTCAAGCTCTCGAGCAACTTCATTTTATGAACAATCCCTTTGCAGCTATCATAATTCTCCAATGTAGAAATCGAATCTGCAAAAAAGTGTTTTCTAGATAACATTTACCAGTTTGTTTAAGGAATAGTCTTTTTATTACAGTAGTTACAGCCTGTTAGTATGGTATGGCAGTAGTTAGTTATAATTAACAGCTACTTTCAAGCTGATTATTCTACGAGAGGTGAACTAAGTTGCGGCTAAAACAACTAACAAAAGTTAGCCTGGTCCCAGTGTTAAGATACTGAAAAACATTACTTAAGGGCTAGCTTTTTGAGATGTTTTCTCGTGATATCAGTATTATTTTCATTTTCTTTCCTCCTTTCTTCCGTCCATTTTTTTCCTTTCTTTCCGTTTATCCCGTCTCTCTTTCCTTTCTGTCTCTCACCCAAGTTCGTGGGAGAACCAAGAATTTAAGTGATAACTTAGGCACCGCAGTTTTGTTCACTCCGATAAAATTTTCTCGCGGGTCACACTCTCCTAGCTTAGATCAGTTATTGCAGAATCAACTGAAGAGTCTATCACTAGAGTCTTACCATCTGAAGCAGGCTAAGGCCCAGTTCAGACGTCGTGCTTCTGGCGTGCCGAACTAAATTCAGGAATTAAGTTCGACAAAAGCACGGCAGAAGCACGACGTCTGAATCAAAGTTTTGAATTAAGTTCGGCAAGCAATTAAGTTCGACAAGCGCTGTCGTGCTACACGGCTCTGGCACGGCAGCGATTCAAACGTCGTGCTTCTGCCGCGCCAAACCAAGTTCATAAATTATATTAATGTACTTTGGCGATATTGCGTTCCCACGGGGAGTTGGGGGAAGAATTGTCACGAGGCATCAGTAAATCCTGAATTTGGTTCGACTCTGGCACGACGTCTGAATCAAAGTTGTTTTACTGCCGTGCTACAGTCGAACCAAATCACAATTAAGTTCGGCACGGCAGAAGCACGACGTCTGAACTGGGCCTAACATTTTTATGAAGAGCGTGTAATACCAAACTACAACAGTGATATCCACCCCTCTGCAAGTTCACATTTTATGTTTACTTCCAAGAAGGAACATAACCAATGTAAACCCTTGGATTTACCGCTGGAGTCGGCGGGAAGGTGGATAGAAGGGAGTAGTGCGTATACTTGGGCAACGCCCTCGTTTATTTTGTGCTTTTAAGAAGTGCTTCCGAGATATGGCAATTGATGACTCAGTTGCCTGGCGCCGGCTTAACCGGGATGATCTTTCTCTTTTGCCGAGAACGGTACAACAACCATACCAGGACGGCTACAAGCGAAACCACCAACACAAACATGACAACAGTTATCACTATCAATGCATTCCTTGTAGCGTTACTTGTGGCCTCCGTCACCGAAGGAATTTCAGTTTTTGGCACACACTGGAAATCTTTCACGCCTGCGCAGTACTGCGTGGAGAAGAACACATTATCTGGTGCGCTTTTGAATCCAGTGTTCATGCGGATTAACTTGCCTAACGTCATTAAATTCACCTTGTCGATTTCCTGTTAATTTCAAACAAACGTTGAGTATGAATGTTCTGCAAGTGTCCAGGGTTATAGAGAGGAGAAAGCGTTACGTCACGTTGCCGTGGTAGCAAAATTTCTGGATCTCAAAAAAAAATCGTCCTGTAAATATGGCAGAAAGAAACGAAAAGTTGAAAGGAATGAGTCTTCTGTGCTTGATTGCACTCAGGAACAAAACGGTAGCCCATACTTTTTTTCCATCGTTCGACAATGCCAATGGCCGTCTCTGTCAAGAAGGATTGTTGAGATCCAGAACTTTGCTACCATGGTAACGTGAAGTCACGCTTCTCTAATAATAACAAATAAAAAAGTCTTCATTCTTTTTCAATAGATGAAAAAATATCTTTTGTAAGTAGATTATATTAAGAAATTTACATCTAGTTAAAGCAAAAGGTAAAACTGAAGTAAGAATTTAAAATCGAGTGGGGTTCCACTTCGATTCCACAATAGATATCGTTATTACAAAGCTAATTCGTATTAAAAACCAAACGGTTAATTGAAAGAAACGGTTAATTGAAACTTCTCTACAAATCTTGCGATCTTGCCTAGAGAGAATGAAGTGATTGCAGTTGCACTGACTGGCGAATTTTTAACTTTGATCAATTAAGAAGCGAGTTTGCTGTCTACACCGAAATAATTTTTTCAAGTATAGGTTTTCAGACTATCGTTGTTCATTGTTTTGGCTAGTTCTTCTGACTTGAGGCTTGGGCGAGTTTCCCTTCGCTCAGCTACGTGTAATTGGTTTGTATATTTTTTACTCTGTTTTGATTGGTCGAAGTAATTCATATTGTTACCTGCCTTGTAGCCGAGTGCCTATTTGCGTAAAGGTGATATTAGACGAAACGATCTGCAACGACGATCTTTAGGGCAGCAAAGATGTGAAAATTCTAAACTATGTTGCAATGCCCCGGCATGCTGAAAAGCGTGGTTGCGATTCGTCCAATGTAACATCGCCTTAATAGGACATGGAAAGGTTATGAGTTAACCCAAGGACACCCACGGTAAAGGTTAACGTCCCTCGTCTGCTTTTCGTTCTTCCCTACGTGCCTTATGCACTTAGAAAACTCCTTCCCAGGCTTGCTCTTGATTCTCTGAATTTTGGCACGAGGCTATGTCGTTACTGTCTAAGGATTACGGGTGACTTCTCTTCATACTATGGCTATATTTCAATCGCGTCTATAGCGGTAATGGTAAAACATAATTATTCCACTTACCTCTTTTGACAGATACCGTTCATACCAGAACCTGTCGCCGTCTCTAATTCGCAGGAAATTAAGCATCATGATTCTGGAAGAGACATTACTCCCCTTCAGCGTTGACAGCCATAGATTCATGGCATTAGCAAGAGAAATACAATATTTCAGGGTTATCCAATAGCCATCCCAGGCTTCTGACGCCATTTTAGCTGTGGGAGAGGGGAGGGGGAATTGGACAGGATTACAGTGAATGTATGCTATTTACGCCGACTTTAAAACTCAATTTCAGCCGAAATCGCAATAAATCAACACGTGTTTAGCCCCCTAGACTCAATTGTGAAGACCATATCTACAAAAAAAAAATCAGAAACCATAAAGGAGAGAGATAAAAAGAATTGTTTTGCACTAACGTTCTAAACGTTGGCCCCAGTTCACTGCCATCTTCGTGGTCTTCAGCCAATCCTCCTACCCAGAGGTCAACATTGTTTATGTCCTGGTAAAGGTCCTTCATCGTCGATGCAACCTCGGAGTCTTTGGTGATCTCTGAAAAACTGGTTAACCCTTAAGAAGACAAACAGAATCGAATATGAGGAATCAGTCATTTCAGCAGTCTATTACCCTAGTGATAGGCTACTGGTTTAAATTTTTATTTTCAGTCACCATGTTAAAGAGTCATTGACAACCTGTTACCGACCGTCCGTTCGACTGACTGACTGACTGACTTACTGACATAGACTGCCTAGAACAGTTGCCTAGAGTCAGTTTAATTCCTACCTTTTAAACCTAGAGCTTTTCTCACTGTGTTGTAGTCCGGTAAACCATGATCTCTTCCACGCTGGATATTCTTCGACGCCAAATCTGAACCAAGACCACTACCAGAGGGAAACAAGACATTTCTCATGTCGTCAACCATCTGAAAAATAATCAAAACTTCAGAGTTATCTTATCTTATGATAAGAAATAATGATTGATAATATGGGTTATAGTCCTCGTCAATTAATTGGCAAAGTACAACGGCTCGTGATTCCTTCGGAAGAACTCAAAGAATGTAACATATATAAGGTAGTCGGTTGGCAGTGGTAATATAGTTTCAGCGGACTGTGAGTAGCGACTCAAAGCTTGGCCGGCATTCTTTCTTCGCCTTTTAGCAAGGTCTTTTAAAATTTTCGTGTCCGTGCTGGTTCTGATACTTTTTCAGGACTTAATCACGTTGCCAATGCCAGTGACTTAAATAGTGACGGTAACGGTTTCCTTGACAATGACACTGAATCGATCGATATATAGAATAACTAGGATGATGATGATGATAATGATGATGATAGTTATAATGATGATGATGATGGTGGTGGTGGTGGTAATGGTGGTGGAAGAGGCGGTGGTGATGGTAACGACGACAACGATGACGACGATGATGATGATGTGCCATTGGTGACAAAAGTAATTGGAAAATCCGTTCTTCAAAACAAGAGTCTAATTGTCCTAGTTAGTGAGAAAAATAAGAGAAGTTTGCAAATGAACTCCTGGTTTTACTTTTTACCAAGATTTTTATGATCGTAAGGTAATAACTAACTCGAAAAACTGGTCTGATGTGTTGCTGGTGAACACAGTAATTCCATGTCTGTCACACTACAAACCTTCAAATCGACCTCTTGAGCTGCTTGCCTTACTGCTCCTCTAAGCAGAGGGTCCAGTCCTCCCTCCCTCTTCACTCTTTCAGGAGAAAAGAAAACGTCTCTCAGAGAAACGTGTCCATACGGAGACATCGTGCCATCCTCTTCATACCTCCACAAGTGAGTGTTGACCTGACTGTGGCCAAATCTACAGGTAAAAATAGCAATACATTCAAACCGTTGTGATCCAAGCTGTGTCAGCTGTTGGGTTTGCCATAATCTCAGTTTAGCCCTTTCAGCCCTAAGAGTGATCTGCAATATCATGAATGCTTTATAAAACAGAGTGGTCATTAGAATTGAGCACATGATCACAGAAGGCGAATCTAACAGATATTTCAACAAATTCTCTCACTGTTTGTGTTGAAAGAAAACGTATAGAGAAAACAAATGAGAATTTTACTTTTGATATTACTTTGTTTATGGGGTTAAAAAGGCCACTATTATTTTCCACCTCCCTGCCGATAAAGCACCACTGTTCCTACAGACATAAAGCCTTCGTTTACTCAGTGCGCGGGTTAGCGCAATTCTATCATTTTTTTTTCTTTTGCCGTCAGTGGTCTAGGTCGGCGGGGTGAGATCATACAGGAAATGAAGCCCCAGCAAAGTGCGCTCTATAATTATAGAGGGCCTCTTTCAATTGTACATTCAAATAAAATATGAATAATAAGAATTCGTTTGTTACCTGAAGGCAGCTGTTGACATCATATTGCTCATGCCAACGTTTACAGTGTCATTGTACCCCTGATAAGGAGGGATGTGCGTGGTGCCCCCCAACAGCGAAGGCAAGTACTCGCGGAATGTCATGGCCTGGATCTCAGCCGCTACCAGGCGACGCGCAGCCTGAAATATTTGCTCGTCAGTAGCCTGGGAAAAAGAAGAAGCAATTGGCAATATTCTCTCTTCGTAATAAATATCTTGATCGTTTACTCATTTAGGCATTCATGTCAGAATTCGCAAAAAAAGATTACATTTTTACTACGGGGAGTAGAGGGTGAAAGTCCGCCCGTTATCAGACCACCTAATAAATAAAGCTGAGATGCTCCACGTCTCTTGTCCACGTACAATCACGGAAATCCAAAAAGGTGGATCTGTTAAAGGTCAATTCAACCAACCATGACCTATAGCCTAAGGTTGTGGCGTTACAGCGCATCAAAACTGTGGAACAGTTTACTAGATGCGATGAGAAAGGTTGACACTTAAAGTAACATTTAAATCTCTTTAAGGTCTTTTAAAATGATCTAAACTGTAAATAGTTTAAAATTTTATACTCTGTATTTTTAATTTATTTTAAATTTGTAAGGAGAAGGGTGGGTAATTCTTTACATGTAAAATTTGATTTATAGTTTCAACTTGTGGTGTACCTGAAACTAGTTTTGTCGGGGGTCGTAGGTCTTAGTCTCTTTAAGATTTTTCTTCTAGTACGCAAAAGTCAGAGCCACAGTGTAAGGACTAAATTAAACGTTTTACTTTAGATACAATCTGCAGCCTCAAAGGGGTTAAAACCAAAATGTGCAGAATTATTAGCAACATCTCTAGAAAGCATTGCTCATAAATGGTCAAGCTTTTGGAGTAAACGTCACAAAGACTAAAGTCTCACTCTTACTAGTGTAATGAGTATGAATAAAGAATTCCAGTGATTTTCAAACAGGGGTTATCCCCCACAACCTCAGACGTAGTTGAGGCACTTTATTCTTAACAAGAAGCACTAGATTCTCGAGGTTTTGCCGACTCCCGACTCTATCTACTTCAACAGCGAAAAAGCAAACCTGCCCTTCCCACCTGACTGCAGTCTCAACCAAGTTCCCTTGTCTCGGGCGCTTGGACTAATAATACCCTTATTTCAAATTTTATAAGTTAAAACCAAGTGTTGTTGCTTTACCTGAGGATTTGTGCTTTTGTATTCATCACATAGTCGGTTGTGTTCACGTACAAAGAGAGTATGAAATGCTATCAAACCCGGCTGTTCATTGGCTCGTGAGTCCCCGGCAACAAACAGCAGACTTGCTACTCGCCCAACTGGATTGTCATTCGGTAGCGCCTCATTATTTTCCTGTTTACAAAACACGTTTAAACAGGTGCTAATTTCTTAAGCTGAAAAATCATTAGCATTTCTAGTTTCTAGTTTGTGAAAGTATGAGTGAAATATTAAAGACTTTCCAGAAGCATTGATAAATTGTCTCTCGTTTGAAAAATCTTGCAAGTGACGTAAAAGTGTATCTTCGACCCCTCCCCAGATATAATTTTTGTAAACATTTTTTAGGGGAAGGGAATGGCTTACGGAAGAGGACAGCCAAGGCCTTTTTGAAAACTGGAACCTAAGCGTAAGCAGTGAATGTGTAATGAAAAAATTCAAACCGTTGCACTTCATTTGGAGGGGGTTTAATTAGAAGGTGAGGCTTTATCAATTTGGGCAGCTGAAAAGGGAGGGAGCTGGAAAGGATAAACTACAAGAAAGATGACAAAATTTATTTCTATGCCACAGCAAACGACGAATGAGTTCAGACAAGTACACGGACCCTGACTGTTTTGTGCAGGAAAGCAAAATAAAAAGTCCTTTTTTTTTTCAAAGTTGTAACTTACAGGCAACAAATCATTGGGTATGACTTTAAGTCTTCCATCTATAAATGATCGTAGAGCCCTGCTTCGTTCTTCTGTTTCGCCATACACGACGGAACCATCGATGTAGGAAGTTAGTTTGTTCACTTGTTGCCTTGGAATGCTAGTGCCTCGACCAGTACATCTAATGAAGAGAGAAAAAAAGGTTCGCTGCACTAAAAGGTACGGTAAAACTTTAATTTTTAGAACTTCTTCTTACTCTGCACCAGGTTATGGCAAAAAAAAAAAAACGTTTCGCCCGTTTCATTGTGGGAAGTCAATGTTGCTCGTTTCGGGAGTGATCATACTTTAATTTTGCTTTCTCGTACAACGGGAACTGTTAGTCTTAGATCGTCTCAGAAGGATTTATCGATGAGAAGAGAGATCAGAGATTCGTTTTGAAAAGCCACGATATTCATAAGACTTCCAGGTATGAGAAATTCCTAAATTATAGACTCTAAGCAAAAAAAACAACAAACCAGTTTGTTTTCTATAGATAAAGGAAATTTAGCTTTAACCATAGGGCCGGTAATTGATGTATATATGTTAATTCGATCATGTCCTTCCAAACCTGTTAAACGTGGTGCGTACGAAAGGGAGGTAAACATTTCCTTTGTTCTGTCGGTCAAAATGAATATCTCCCTGGAAGCAGAGGAGAAAGCAAATATATATTATCATAATGCATAGCTACATTTCCTCCTCAGGCAAAAGAATTACGCAAATAATTGTTAAGTAACAAATCACCCGCACTTGGTTAAAAAGAGGACAAGGGCCCATCCACATACCCCAAGCATCACACGATAAGCGAGGCAGATAACAAATCGCTAGGGAAATCCCATCATTTGAGGAATATCCTAACAACATATTCAGCTTACTCAAACCCACCCAGACACCACGCACGTCATACATAGTAGTCCTTAGAGGGTCTTACAAAAATTGGGGTTGTCAGAACTGCAGATAGCAGATAATAGAATCAACGCACAAGATCTGAACTCATAGACTGCTGACGTGTCGTGTAATTTTCATAAATAACCAGGAAGGGAGTGCGAGTATCGTGAATCCTGATAATTATGGCTCAACAACAACTAAGGGACGACACCAAATGCTCTTCATATACTGACCTGTGGTACCTCAATAGGTAATAGCACGTCACTTTCAACTTCAAAATCCCGACTTGTAAGCGTTCCTGATGAATCGGTATCATGTGCAAGAAACTGAAAGAAAAATTAAGCAAAACAGTGGCCTCTATTTGTGAACAACACATCAGGTATTCTATTTAAAAACACCCTGTGCTGTGTAATATGTAAAGACTGGTGTCGTGAATTTCTCAACACCTCTCACTACCATCAGCAGAGTTCTCAGTTCTCTCTTCTGTCAAACCATCCTCCACGTCACACCCTAATAGCGTAACATCAATTCTCGACACTGGAACCCTATATCTAGGAGAGGTTACATCGGTAGCTCCGCTTTTTTACCCCCTCTTTCATAACTGATCCATTTTACTGGTATTAAAAGCTACTTGATGCCATATGGATAGAAAAACTGAGTCAAATGACAAGGATTTGAGGTAAAGCCTGAAAAACCAACTCAGGACCTCTTGTACAGAAGGCCGGGCAATGACTAACTAACTGTGCCAATATTCTTTCCATTGTCAAAATGAACCTATTGATGGCCGGATTGCCGCATCCTTCCTGCCTGACTGATCCTGAATGATGGTCTGTTTCATTGACTTACTTAGTCACAAACGATTAATTACGCCTCAATTTATACCTGCCCAAAATTTGGACTGAAGTCACTGAGTCTGCGCGCACTAATCTTTGATTCAACCTGCAAAATAGGAAGTTAGTTAGCCGAATCGCAATGACAAGCCGCAAATGCATTTTAACGACAATTTAACCTTCAATCTAAGGTAATGAGAAAAGGATAAGAAAAGGATAGAAACTGTAGTCCCCGAACGTTGGCCAGTTATTTCTTTGTCAGCTCAATAAGATAAAACGCAACTTTTGTCCTTAACCTCCTAAAAGAAGCAGCGTCACAATTTTCTGTACAGTATTCATTCGAAAAAACGCCGTGGTATTTACTACCTTTTTAGCGCTTCCGATGTGGCGTTTATTTCAAAATCACATTTGGCAAAAATAATTACGATAAACCTGATTTGCAAATACTTTGTAAAACAGAAAGATTTCCAGTTTCTTGCTTGTTTTTTTTTTTTCCTGAAATGGACTCGTCATTGTCTGGAAAGTGTAAATCACCAAGTTGTATCAATTTTTTTCTCATATTCCTTGAAAAAAGTCCCGTATTCCTCTGATTAGATGCGATGTTTACAAGACAAGGGCAGCGTTTATTGGTAATATTGATTCTATCTGCAGCGTTTAATCAAGGGCGGCGTTTAATGCAGTTAATGCAGGAGAGAATTTATTAGCAAACCTTACTTATCTGTTTGGAATAAACAGCCTGAAAACGCTTAATAAAACAAAACGCTGATGCTGGTAGTCCAGATCGGTAACTTGAGGCGTACCTGCTGAAATAGTTCATTGCTGATTTTTCTTGGTGATGGCCTGTTAGCGCCTGCTGCAATAACTATACCGTCAGCGTACATTGGAGGAGCATCACGAATCAAATCCTCTTGCGCAGCACCCCATCTCACTTGAACTTTATTATTCGAAGTACCCTCTAAACGCCTATAAAGCAGGAAATATAAATTACGGACAATTGTTTTACCTACCTTTTTTGCGTGCTGAAACAAACCAACAATTGAAAGTGATCGTTACGATAAAAAAGGCACAGCCATAAAGAGCAAACAAGACTAGGGAAAGGCCCAAAAGAAAAAAAATGGACGCCCCTAGTTTTAATTGACAACTCAAAATTGCATGAACAGGTTTCTACGCGCATTCACTTTTATCCTGAAAGTGGAATACAGGTGTTCAAGTGAAAATCTACTTGAAAGGAGTTGTGCCATCACAGAAACTCCGCATTTACAGATTTTGCCAAGCAACCATTTTGGTAAAGGGCTGGGAATATCTTTGAACGATGGGCAAATTTTGAAGGCATTAGTGCTATTCCTTTCTTTGGCAGTTAAGGGGTGGGTTATGGCAGGAGGTAACGGGAGTGTATTTACTAGTTTATGGCTTGGATGGTACTCGGAAGCTTACCTGTCATCTGTTACAGTTGGTACCGATCCGATCATTCTTCCGTCCTGACATCCGCTCAGAGTGCTGCTTGTGAACTCCACGTTTGCCGTGGAGTTGGCAGTCAGCGGTTGTCCTCCTGGGCAAGGCATCAGGCCCACTGTGTATGTGAAGGTCTGGTTACCAAGCTCCGCGTAGCTTTCTCCAGGATTTACTTGAAACTTTACTGTTTTCCCGTCTGGGTTAACTGTTACTGTTGATTTTGAAGGCTACAGCAAAACAAAAGGGTTAAGAAACCACGCTTAAGATCGACATACCAAAAACGTATTGAACGCATTCGCCCCAGAACCGCCCGTAACCGCTTGTGCAGTTTCAAGTCCCTTCTACCGCTCAGTGTAACATCATCATTTTTAACTTTGTCATTTAACTTGCATTGAATGTGCAGGGGGAAGGGATCTTTCAAACCATTAAAGAGAGAGCACGCGTCAGCCAAGGAGGTCGGAGAAACCATGTAATGTTGACTCAAAAATTCCCATGAAAATCTTGTTGTACTAACCAGTTACCTTTCATTTCATCTAATCTTATGAGATCCTAAAAGCTTTCTTAAAACTTTCCCCACAGACATGAAGCCTACTAGATGCCAAGCAAAAGAAAAAAGTGAAGCAAAATTCCCAGAAGCGAACGGGTTAAGGCTGCTAAAGTTTCGCTTCACAAACAAATAATTCTTTATCCCAGTATTCAATAACTTTATCAATCTAGCACGAAAGACCCTTTCAAACGTCACAAGATACAATGTAAAAAGTTGAAAATCCACTCCAGCCTTTAGTAGCTACAATCCCGGTCATAATTCATAATTGCTGAAACGCTTGCGAGCTTTTCTTTCCCTTTCTTTCAATTTTGACTTGGAAGACGTTTATGCCCAAGCAAACGCGTGAAACCAACATTGAGGGAAGAAGAGGGAATCAATACTTGTATTCATTGACTGTTTTCCAATTCCCCATAATACACTCTGTCTGCCCCCGAAATTTTGCGTAACTTATTGTCTTAAAATGCTCTTGGGAAAATGCAATACTCCCAGGAGCATTTAAAAACAATGGTTTATGCAAAATTTGGGGGGCAAACAGAGTGTATTATGGGGAATTGGAAAATAGAGAATGAAACGAAAAGTTTATGTTGTGTTTTCCGGAAGTGTTTCAACAACTTATGACCGGGATTGTAGTTGTCGCGTTATAATAAATAAGTGCACATGGTGTTCTTACAACCATTACCTTTGGTATCCTTAGAGAAAAGAATAATAGATTCAGGCTTACTCAGTAATTTGTTGTGAAAGAGGAATGAGATATTTTAGCCAATCGGATTTGTAGTCGCTTAAAGGTTTACTAAGACACGAAACGTTGCCTAGCATTAAATCACTCCTTCCAGGTTTATAGTGATGGTGGCATAATTTTTAGAGTTATCCTGCACTGGATTCTATCCAAAGGGGAAAACCAAGACGTAAGAAACATTCCCTCGCCGCACAAAAAAANCCCCATAATACACTCTGTCTGCCCCCGAAATTTTGCATAACTTATTGTCTTAAAATGCTCTTGGGAAAATGCAATACTCCCAGGAGCATTTAAAAACAATGGTTTATGCAAAATTTGGGGGGCAAACAGAGTGTATTATGGGGAATTGGAAAATAGAGAATGAAACGAAAAGTTTATGTTGTGTTTTCCGGAAGTGTTTCAACAACTTATGACCGGGATTGTAGTTGTCGCGTTATAATAAATAAGTGCACATGGTGTTCTTACAACCATTACCTTTGGTATCCTTAGAGAAAAGAATAATAGATTCAGGCTTACTCAGTAATTTGTTGTGAAAGAGGAATGAGATATTTTAGCCAATCGGATTTGTAGTCGCTTAAAGGTTTACTAAGACACGAAACGTTGCCTAGCATTAAATCACTCCTTCCAGGTTTATAGTGATGGTGGCATAATTTTTAGAGTTATCCTGCACTGGATTCTATCCAAAGGGGAAAACCAAGACGTAAGAAACATTCCCTCGCCGCACAAAAAATCCTTTGGAATTTCTATACCATATGTCTAGAATAGGCCCCTTAAGCTTGTATGTTTTGTTTTCTGAATGAAAATACCAGGCCTGAATTTGACCTTTTGCGTTATTATAAGTTATGCATAGATATGCACCGAAAGTTTGAAAGAAGCAGTTCTCTAGAGTAGTATCAAATGACCTCCATAGGAAAAACAAAGCATACAAACTAAAGAGTTCTACTATATTTAGCTTACCTGTTTAACAATCGATGTCACTTGTAAGGAAAAACACTTGTCGAGAGCAGAATATTGAAACGTTTGTCCAGAATCAGAACTAAAAGAAACAGTTATGAAGTCATTTACCGATGCTTTCACTAATTCTTATTTTTTCAATCAGTCCCATTTATACTGACATAATTAATGACTATTGAGGCCCCACAGACTAGCCAGCTAAAAAGTAGTTAAAATCATGCGGCATAATTATAAAAAGGAATGTATGAAGAAATCGAAAAAAAAAAAACTTTGACTAGCCCAGCCGTGAGGAAGTTCACACATTATGATATTTCGTCTTCCCCAGTTGTCATCTAAGATTTTCTTTTAAAGAACTCAAATATCGCCTATTTCCGAGCAGTTATATTTTTTGCAAGACACTCTTTTTTATGAAAAAAAAAAAAAACATAAAAAGAGAAAATCTTAAGGAAATTTTCTTCAGTTATCTTAAGGCCCTTAGGTATTGGTCCGTTCTCGCGGGTTTGGAACTGGTAACCTCTCGCTTAGCAGTCCGGCATTACCAATTTACCGGCTACCGAGTTTACCTCGCTGCAGTTAATTTTCTTGTAAAAAAAGTATAATAAAACACATATCATTCAAGGAGCAAATGAAAATGTATCTCCTTTTATAATATGCCGTTACTCCATTATCATCGTAATCGTTGCTTACTGACCTGTTAGGTTGTACAACTCGTAGCCTCGTATTAGGAGTTACGTTAACGTACGTCACCATGAGATTAGACGGCCACGTTACTTTGACTGTGACATTACCACTATTTGATCCCAGTCCAAAATGCGCAACAACCGAACTCTGACCTAAGAAATGTGTACTGGAACCAATTTGCTTTGTCTGAAAGAAAGGAAAGTGCAAACTAGTACTAGAAGGTAATGCCTTGTTTCAGAAAATATGGCCTGAGGAAAGTGAAACTGAAGGTCCGGCTTACTTCAACACTCTTTTCCAGGATGGAACGAAATCTAATCTTTTTCTAAGTTTATAAGATAACAAACCTCATAAAACTAGCAACAGCGCTCAAGTATACGATTTTCCTTTCGCCAATAATGGCCAAAACGGCTATAACAGTGCCATAATTCTTCATTTTAACGTGAGAGCCTTGCAATATTCTAGTTTCCTATACCTGTGTATGGTTGTTTCCCATGATCACTTGCACTCGGGCTCCCAGGCTGTCACATAACTTATTTGGGTTCTTTAAACACCTAGAACAAAAATTGCACAGCAGCAGTCATATCTGGATTTCTTAACAAAAATATTGCCTCACCCACCATGATACTCCAATGGGGGTAGGGGGATTCTCGACAGGTTCATCCCCGTCCCTTAAAATCACCGGTCGTCAGTCTCCCCTCATCTTGTGTTGCGTAATATAATTCCCTACCGATCAACCTGCACCCTCCAGGACAGGCACTTTGAATTCTGAGAGTTTCTTCTCGAAATATTTGGTGAGGTTAGATTGTGCGATTCACTGAGCGGACTCTCGCCTATCTTACTCAGTTAATTTAAAAACCTCGCGGTACCAGAGGAAAATTGTCAAATCAGGAGCCGGAAATAAACAACACTCATTTCTAGGCCAAACTTAAGTGACGCTACATGCCATTACTTGCCATTGTCAAATTAGAATAGCTTGGAAAGTTTGCCGCGCTTCCAGGATAGTTTCACATACCTTTGCAGAGGTAACAATACGACAATTTTCTTTCTTGGTTTTACAGTGAGCTTAAGCAACCTCGACAACGTCCAAAAACAACCGGTTTTATGAACAAAACAACAACTCTACACGTGCATCACGCATTTTACTAGGTTTTTCATGACGTCCGCTGTATTACTACGATCTTAAACCTTCTAAGGCAACGTTTTATAGAGGACGTGGGCCTGCGAGTTTATGAATATTTGTTTCTTTTTATGAACCTGGATAAAGTCCTTAAGAATTCAACTCCAGGAAAAGTGACGTTTCAGGGGCGGATCCAGGATTTTCTTTAGGAGGGGGTGCACTCGTCTCATGCTCTACTGCAACACCAATAAACCACATAGTTTTTTTTTTTTGCAGAATACTAGTTGTATTAGAAAACCGCAGGTCATCTCAGGGAGGGGGGGGGGGTGCGCACCCCCTGCCCCCCCCCCCTAGATCCGCCCCTGCGTTTATTTGAAAAATAGAGGGGGCCCAGATAGATGGATAATAGTTTGAAAGGACGCATATTCATTTTTTTAGGGAGGTTTTCATTGTCGTTTTGGCCATCGTTGCTTAAGTGTTCGCCATTTTTTAATTTAAATGCATTTTAACTCACAGCAAATGGATTAATCGCCGTACCTATGTACTACACGTATCCTTATCCAATTGTTCGGCTCCTTCCGCTGATATTGATAGAAAAACGGTGCTCCAACGTTATTACACACAATGATGTCTTCATCACCATCATCTAAGAAAGAAGTGTTCACGACTGTTTAAGAACTGATGGAATTAGAAGGCATCAGCGAGGGTTAGGGACGTGCAGTGTTTTTAATAATAGCTTAATTTTCTCTGATGAAACCTCGCGCAAAACACCTCGTAGTAGTTCTGAAAACGAACCAGATTTCAGCAAACCTTTAACTTATCCTAGATACACAATAGAGTCACTTAAATGCGAGGAAAAATAAGACAAGCGTCTTACATAAGACGCCTCCTAAATAAAAAAATAAATAAAAGCCGTCTCGAACGTGTTCCTAGGCGTTTCTTGCGGGTGCCAGTTACACTTATAAATACCATCTCAGTTTTATTTTTATATAACGTGACTGAATTAAGAACTACAGAGAAAACACCGGAGAAGTCGATGTTGTCATTAAAGTATTACCATCATAGTCCCATTTGACGAGGCCTCTTCCTTTTCCTGTGCCATTCAGTCCATAGAAGGCAGATACCTAAAAAGGAAAAAAACGCCAATACCAATGATCTGAAGCCTCAGACCTTACAGGAGCTGCACTGTAAGTACTTTTTCATTACATTAGAACGATATTGGCATAACATGCGTCTTACGTCGCATTTTCCTGCCAAGCGTCCTAGTTACTAATGCACCATAAGATAATTCAGTTAATTTTCCGGATTTGTATAATTCTCGTGCAGCCTCATTGTAATAGATTCTTGAAAGCCTCTGTCTTCTAATCAAAATCTACTCTACTAAATCAGCTTTATATTCAAACTTTAGTTAAACGCTTTTTAAAATAAATTTAATCATCAGTTAAAGCAACCGCGATAACAAAAGTCAGAAAATTAAAACTGAAAAAGAGAACTCGAGTGTTCTTTTAAACTTCATTGAGATTATTCCAACTCTCTCCCAACCTGTGAAATAAGGAAGAACTGCCTTACAGTAAAGGAACTATGAAGAAAGGACGATAGAATTAAGAAATCTACTAAACAACCTCTCAGATTAACGCCAAATTCTACGTTTACCATGCAACGTCATTTTGGAGGAAGAGAGAGATGGGAAGTAGTTGTATAAAGTAATGGTAAAAAGTTGCTATTTACTTCTTGAGTTTTTCCATTCTGACCAGTTCCAAGGTTTTGCCATAAATGAATCTTGTTGAATTCATTTCCTGAAAAGTAAGCAGGAATAGTAAAAAGCAGATTTAATAAATATGGATATATACTGACTAAATAATATGGACATCGACCGAAACCAGCCATTTTCAAATAGTCCATTTCGTTTCTTTAGGAAGGAACTTGTCCCTGTTGTGATTAGATATAGTGTTCTCCTTATTATAGCCGGCAGCCTGAATTAAGATAGATTACAGTAAATAAATAAATAAATAAATAAATAAATAAATAAATAACGATTTAGAGGTTACACATCCACTATAGTGGTTCTTCGTATACATGATTCCTAGTCGAACTGGAATTTGGAAATGTTGATTTTTGGGGAGAGGGGAAAACAGTAGTACCCGTAGAAACCCTCTCGGAGCAAGGGAGAGAACCAACAGCAAACTCAACACCCATACATGGCGTCGACGCCGGGATTTCAACCCGGGACAAATTGTGGGAGACAAGTCCTCTCACCACTGCGCCATCCTTGCTCCCGGTCGAGGGGGGCAAGGATGAAAGATAAATTGCTGATTAATCGATAAAGATGAGTTACCAAGGAAAAGTGAGCCTTTTTTCCCAGGCATTTTCACCTTACCACTACATAATCTACCAGTTATAGTCAGTGAGGGCGTCTTGCAGTGCAGAAAAGAGCGAGGCTAGAAAAGAAAAAAAAAAGAAACAAAAACGAGGAAAAGAAGCCATTGCTGCCAATAGAGTGTTAGTCCTATATCTGATTATCCGGGGAAAGGTACATAGAATTATTCGATAATCCACCTACTGAGGTTTCGGTCTGTTATGAGCTATGTACTTACCACCGGTTGAAATGAAATCTAGAAAGCCATCGTTATTAAAGTCCACGAATGCCGCGCCCCATGCAATACCACCATTTTCTACACCCGCCTGATGGAATGAAACATACATGAGAAAAACGGAAATCGCTTTATTGTTTAGTTACTCTAGTTGCTCGGTTGGTTTGGAAAAGTATTTAATTTCCGAGAAATTTGCCGCCTGACAAACTTGTTGTGGCTAGTTTGAGAAACTATAAAGTGTATTTTTTTTGCTGCACAATAATAGAAGAAGAATTACAAATAATATAGGATAAGTGAAAAACAGAACTGGCGAGGAGACCGAACAGAAACTATAGGAGCTCATGAGAGGTTACGCCTTCTCGAACTACGGGCTAGAGCTGTTTACATCAATTGAAGAAAAGATGGCGAAAAGTAGAAGATGGAGAAATTTAGGATCGGTTTTCATATTTAGTTGAAAATTTAATCTTCAGTATTTTCTTAAAGGAGGAAAGGAATTGAGAGTTGATGACCTCGTTGTCAGGTGAATCTTAGTTCCTTGAAAAAAAAGGCGAGAACTTCTCAGTTTGTCGGTACTTTGGAGAATATCTCTATTTGATTTTTTACAAAGGTAAGCGTTCAAGGGTCGAGGACGAAAAGATAAATGGCTGATAGGAAGGAGAAAAGCTGGGCAGAAACTCGCGCGCCTCATCTACAAAAGAAAGAGAGCGTAACACTGAAGCCAGACCCAGGCCAGACCTAAGAGGCACCCACTATTAGTGCCCGAGCATTAGCGCTTTCTGGGTACTGACGAAAAATGTTTTTTTTACAGCATGAGTACCCGTGTAACTATGCACCATATTTTGCTCTATTTGTGCCTAAAAATTCAACCGTCAGTTTGAAATGCGAGCGTAGTAGGTAGTTATGGGTATGCAAAGCAGTGAATTGCCTTGGTACTAACAGAATCCGTGTGCACGCAAGAAATAGCTAGCTTGTGTGCCCAATTTATTGCCCGTGTCTCAACCTTGCACTCGGGTACAAGCACCAAGCCCGAATTCTGGTGTGGGTACTTGAAAAAAGGGTTTGGCCACATTAGTGCCCAGTGATCACCGTACTTGGGTACCGTGCTGGCCACCAACTGTAAGCATGGTTTCACCTAAGTGACCACCTTAACTTGCCTGATTTGTAGCGTCTTCAAACTGCCTTCCTCCAAGGTTACGATATAACGAATTTCCACTGGTAACGAACGTACAGCCAGACATGGTGCATTCGCTTTGGTTCTTCCACATGGCAGAAGAAAACCAGTCCAGGTAACCATCATTATCCCAGTCTCCTATAGCATGACCGATGGCGTTCTATGGGAAAAAAACGAAAACTACATTTGAAACTCGTCCATTATGGATTTGAAACGCAGATTTACTTAGAGGCAAACCTCGAGTTACCCTTACTTATCACACGCGTTCATGCTACTGCACAGCCAAGTTAACAGTGTGAAACAACTTATGCCAGCAGGGGGTCTCGAATATAGGTTGGACAAATATGGCTGTCGAAAACTGATTGGCCAGTAAAGGAGACTAATCTGTGTATTGCACAGGTTTTTTAGACCGCTAAAGGAGACTAACTAAAAAAGACAACTTAAAGTATTAATCTTATGCCAGCCCTAGCTACCTGCATTCCGCTAAGTCCGCATGATTTAGTGCATTCTGTAAAGTTACTTTTTTGTGTGTTCCAAAACATTTTACTTCCACCGAAAGCTGCAGTAACTAGTAGTTCTGGAAAGCCGTCGTTGTCAAAATCCTGCAATGACAATAACAACAGTTTGTTAGGCTTTCACCTTTGAAACTATAAAAATGTCTACTGAGCTTTTCAATTTGGACCTTTTTGTACGTGTGCGACGATAAGGCCAAGACAGGAAGATCGTTTTAGTGATCCGAAAAGACTTAGTAGTTCTGGGTTACTTGAGCAAAGGCCGAACTGAGCTGATGTCTTGGTTTACCAGGCGCGTAATAAAACCCCTGGTAGCTGTCTCACCTATAGTGGGGTTTACTCTCTTTGTCGAGCGGCTGATTGAACAAGGTGTTCCAAATATTTTTTAAAAACTTGGAAAATCAAGTGTTCGCTGACCTATCTGATTCATTCCACCCAAGAATGAAAAAAAAAAAGAGAAACAAACTACTCATTAAAAATATATTTATTGATAAATAATTTACAATTATGGGACGAGGTTGAGCAAAATATCGTGACTTGTCAGGGGCGAGCAGATCAATGCAATACACTGACAAATCACGTTGTTATATTCCTAGACTTTCACTCAACTGAACAGGGACAGCCATTGGCTGACTCTTGGTCACGTGGCCTTGGCTAAAATCAAATGTATCCCGATCGTGATACATCAAGCAATGTTCCCCGCTCGGGATACATTACAGCACGTTATCAAAGCATGGTGGAAAGTGGCGTGACAGAAAGCGGGAAAAACACTGCCAGTTTTCTTTTTCGTGAATGAACACAACAACATTCACAATAACACAAACATGAAGCCTCAAGCTAAAAGGCAACGATTTTCAAAGTTATCCCAGAAGAGAAACAGCAGCTAGTGGAGGAAAAAGATGCAGATAATATAAGGAAAGTACTCTTTAAATCATTCAGTGGTTCAGTGGTTTTGAGAATTAAATTTGTGTTCTTATAAGTACCGAGTCGTACTGTTTTGATTCGCTCCTCTTAAGCGTATTCTTTTGTTGCTGTTGAAGTACGTTGGAGTGAAAGTCTAGAAATATAACAAAACACTTAATGTCAGGTTCCTCGGGAAACCAGTTAGTTTTGTTTTCCCTCGAGTCCTGATGTTTCCCTCGACTTCGTCTCGGGAAACATCAGGACTCTTGGGAAAACAAAACCAACTGTTTCCCTTGGGATCTGACATTAAGTGTATAATATTTTGCGATAACTGAGTTCAGTAATCTTTTTAATTTATCATCCTGATTCGATCACCAAGTTTGTTTTTTTAATTAATATCTTCGGGAAGCGAAGCTATCTGACATTTTTCACGCAAGAGCGATCGAAAGAAGGAGAAAAGCGTGGTTTCGTTTACGCATGAGCAGAATCTTATTTGCAGCCAAACAAAACTGGACGACATTGCGCTTAAGCAGACAATTATTTGTAGGCAGTTATTTGCAGGTCCCGTGGTGGGCTTTCGGCCAATGAAAAGAAAGAACAATTTGCATCGAATGATAAACCGTTATATCTGACTTTTTATATCTTCGTATAGTAAGTGAAACACTATTGGTTGGAGGCTATTATGCGTAAATACAATGCTTACTACTAGAAAGAAGAAAAACTCACTGTGAATGAAGAACCATAGGTGTAAGTTCCTTGATTAAGCATGGAGCCGTTATAAGAATCATCCAGATTTACACCAGCGTTGATTGTAACATCTACAAAGTACCTTTAAGACAAATAATCGATTTAAAAACCTCGTTTTGAAGACTCGGGTTACGTGTGGCAGGCTAAGTACATATAAGCAAAGAATCTTTTAGGTTTTATGTGGAGTAAACTGCTAAAAATCTAAGTAATTGGCCATAGAATCTCATAACCTTATCCGAGAGTTAGCCGTTTAAAGAGCTGTGTTAAGAAAAATGGTTTAAAAAGGTTTAAAGGCTTGTTTATGGTGGACGAAAGTGAAATTTGTTCAGTTCCCTCGCACCGTTTTCTTGACGCGAAGCTGTGATTATGTCTCTCTCAGCTAATTTCTCAAGTGTCTTAGCCAATAAGGACGTATAATTGGGTTGAAGCGCGTCGTTCAAAAACGCTTTTGCTCAAGTTCCCTGATTTACGATCTTTCTTATTATTATCAAACAGCACATTAATTCAGCAGACCTCCGCGGCTGAGCATAAGTTTACATCCTACCCTGGTGAGTCGTGTCCTCTGTTTCGTAAGAGCTTGGAGACAGATGGCTGAATAAAGAGAGTAAAAGATTGTGTTAATGTCGATATTGCGCTAAAAGCTTAAAACGCAAGCGTCAGCCACACCCACTTTACAGGTCTATCACAGTGGCGGATCCAGACCTTCAGATCCTTCAGATAAGGTTGGGGAGTGGGTGAGGGAGCAGTCATGCAGACCCTGAGATAAAGGGAGCCCGATCTCAAATAAAACGCCCTTCTGGCCTCAGTTTGGTCGAAAAAGTAGGGGGAGCCGGGGCCCCGTGGGCCCCTCCCCTGGATCTGCCACTACATCATTTGCTACCATGATCTCAGGCGCTTCTCTAATGAGGCTACGGGACAAAAACAAAACCAGCCAAATTAAATAAGTTTCTTTTTGAAGCAAGTACACCTTCGCCCAATAATGAAATTCTTTTAGTGGTCACTCTCTCTTCGGCAGAGGCTCCCGCTGGGTAATCCATTAAAAATAGCAATATAATAATCCAGAAATAGTAAGTGCTCGGTGGACGATAGGAAAAGGTTCTCTCTCCCTCACATCGTCCCCTGCGCGCTCACAAAGGGGCCTCTTCAGGGGTACATAACTATTTTTTGTTTTATGCATTTTTGTGGATAACTGACAAAGCAAATGTAAGTAGATGAGATTAGTTTCTTTTAATTACCTTTCCCAAAGAGTGCGGAATCCATTCTGTCACATAAATGTCAACAAAACCGTCGAGATCAAAATCTCCAACATTTGGCGTCATCCCAGAAAGTTTGCGTTTGTCACTCGTCTGCATCGAACAGTTCCTCTGCATAGCTTCTTCCCTGAAGTGTCCTCCGTAATTTATATACAGATAATGCCTGGTATCACCAACCGTAGTCACATAAAGATCCAGATCTCCATCTTATTTCCACTGGTAACGAACGTACAGCCAGACATGGTGCATTCGCTTTGGTTCTTCCACATGGCAGAAGAAAACCAGTCCAGGTAACCATCATTATCCCAGTCTCCTATAGCATGACCGATGGCGTTCTATGGAAAAAAACGAAAACTCCATTTGAAACTCGTCAATTATGTATTTGAAACGCAGGTTTGATTAAAGGCAAGCCTCGAATTACCCTTACTTCTCACACTCGTTCATGCTACTGCTCAGCCAAGTTAACAGTGTGAAACAACTAATGCCAGGGGGGTCTCGAATATGAACTGGACAAGCACTGTTGTCGAAAACTTATTGGCCAGTAAAGGAGTCTAATCTGTGCATAGCACAGGTTTTTTAGACCGCTAAAGGAGACTAACTAAAAAAGACAACTTAAGGTATCAATCTCATGCCAGCCCTACCCGCATTCCGCTAAGTCCGCATGATATAGTGCATTCTGTGAAGTTACTTTTTTGTGTGTTCCAAAACATTTTACTTCCACCGAAAGCTGCAGTAACTAGTAGCTCTGGAAAGCCGTCGTTGTCAAAATCCTGCAATGACAATAACAACAGTTTGTTAGGCTTTCACCTTTGAAACAATAAAAATGTCTACTGAGCTTTTTAATTTTGACCTTTTTGTGCGTGTACGACGATGAGGCCGAGACAGGAAGATCGTTTTAGTGATCCGAAAAGACTCAGTACTTCTGGGTTACTTGAGCAAAGGCCGAACTGAGCTGATGTCTTGGTTTACCAGGCGCGTAATAAAACCCCTAGTAGCTGTCTCACGTATAGTGGGGTTTACTCTCTTTGTCGAGTGGCTTATTGAACAAGATGTTACAAATATTTTTTAAGAACGGAAAATCAAGTGTTTGCTGACCTATCTGATTCATTCCACCCAAGAATGAAAAAAAAAAAGAGAAACAAACTACTCATTAAAAATATATTTATTGATAAATAATTTACAATTATGGGACGAGGTTGAGCAAAATATCGTGACTTGTCAGGGGCGAGCAGATCAATGCAATACACTGACAAATCACGTTGTTATATTCCTAGACTTTCACTCAACTGAACAGGGACAGCCATTGGCTGACTCTTGGTCACGTGGCCTTGGCTAAAATCAAATGTATCCCGATCGTGATACATCAAGCAATGTTCCCCGCTCGGGATACATTACAGCACGTTATCAAAGCATGGTGGAAAGTGGCGTGACAGAAAGCGGGAAAAACACTGCCAGTTTTCTTTTTCGTGAATGAACACAACAACATTCACAATAACACAAACATGAAGCCTCAAGCTAAAAGGCAACGATTTTCAAAGTTATCCCAGAAGAGAAACAGCAGCTAGTGGAGGAAAAAGATGCAGATAATGTAAGGAAAGTACTCTTTAAATCATTCATTCAGTGGTTTTGAGAATTAAATTTATGTTCTTATAAGTACCGAGTCGTACTGTTTTGATTCGCTCCTCTTAAGCGTATTCTTTTGTTGCTGTTGAAGTACGTTGGAGTGAAAGTCTAGAAATATAACAAAACACTTAATGTCAGGTTCCTCGGGAAACAGTTGGTTTTATTTTCCCTCGAGTCCTGATGTTTCCCTCGACTTCGTCTCGGGAAACATCAGGACTCTTGGGAAAACAAAACCAACTGTTTCCATTGGGATCTGACATTAAGTGTATAATATTTTGCGATAACTGAGTTCAGTAATCTTTTTAATTTATCATCCTGATTCGATCACCAAGTTTGTTTTTTTAATTAATATCTTCGGGAAGCGAAGCTATCTGACATTTTTCACGCAAGAGCGATCGAAAGAAGGAGAAAAGCGTGGTTTCGTTTACGCATGAGCAGAATCTTATTTGCAGCCAAACAAAACTGGACGACATTGCGCTTAAGCAGACAATTATTTGTAGGCAGTTATTTGCAGGTCCCGTGGTGGGCTTTCGGCCAATGAAAAGAAAGAACAATTTGCATCGAATGATAAACCGTTATATCTGACGTTTTATATCTTCGTATAGTAAGTGAAACACTATTGGCTGGAGGCTATTATGCGTAAATACAATGCTTACTACTAGAAAGAAGAAAACTCACTGTGAATGAAGAAGCATAGGTGTAAGTTCCTTGATTAAGCATGGAGCCGTTATAAGAATCATCCAGATTTACACCAGCGTTGATTGTAACATCTACAAAGTACCTTTAAGACAAATAATCGATTTAAAAACCTCGTTTTGAAGACTCGGGTTACGTGTGGCAGGCTAAGTACATATAAGCAAAGAATCTTTTAGGTTTTATGTGGAGTAAACTGCTAAAAATCTAAGTAATTGGCCATAGAATCTCATAACCTTATCCGAGAGTTAGCCTTTTAAAGAGCTGTGTTAAGAAAAATGGTTTAAAAAGGTTTAAAGGCTTGTTTATGGTGGACGAAAGTGAAATTTGTTCAGTTCCCTCGCACCATTTTCTTGACGCGAAGCTGTGATTATGTCTCTCTCAGCTAATTTCTCAAGTGTCTTAGCCAATAAGGACGTATAATTGGGTTGAAGCGCGTCGTTCAAAAACGCTTTTGCTCAAGTTCCCTGATTTACGATCTTTCTTATTATTATCAAACAGCACGTTAATTCAGCAGACCTCCGCGGCTGAGCATAAGTTTACATCCTACCCTGGTGAGTCGTGTCCTCTGTTTCGTAAGAGCTTGGAGACAGATGGCTGAATAAAGAGAGTAAAAGATTGTGTTAATGTCGATATTGCGCTAAAAGCTTAAAACGCAAGCGTCAGCCACACCCACTTTACAGGTCTATCACAGTGGCGGATCCAGACCTTCAGATCCTTCAGATAAGGTTGGGGAGTGGGTGAGGGAGCAGTCATGCAGACCCTGAGATAAAGGGAGCCCGATCTCAAATAAAACGCCCTTCTGGCCTCAGTTTGGTCGAAAAAGTAGGGGGAGCCGGGGCCCCGTGGGCCCCTCCCCTGGATCTGCCACTACATCATTTGCTACCATGATCTCAGGCGCTTCTCTAATGAGGCTACGGGACAAAAACAAAACCAGCCAAATTAAATAAGTTTCTTTTTGAAGCAAGTACACCTTCGCCCAATAATGAAATTCTTTTAGTGGTCACTCTCTCTTCGGCAGAGGCTCCCGCTGGGTAATCCATTAAAAATAGCAATATAATAATCCAGAAATAGTAAGTGCTCGGTGGACGATAGGAAAAGGTTCTCTCTCCCTCACATCGTCCCCTGCGCGCTCACAAAGGGGCCTCTTCAGGGGTACATAACTATTTTTTGTTTTATGCATTTTTGTGGATAACTGACAAAGCAAATGTAAGTAGATGAGATTAGTTTCTTTTAATTACCTTTCCCAAAGAGTGCGGAATCCATTCTGTCACATAAATGTCAACAAAACCGTCGAGATCAAAATCTCCAACATTTGGCGTCATCCCAGAAAGTTTGCGTTTGTCACTCGTCTGCATCGAACAGTTCCTCTGCATAGCTTCTTCCCTGAAGTGTCCTCCGTAATTTATATACAGATAATGCCTGGTATCACCAACCGTAGTCACATAAAGATCCAGATCTCCATCTTCGTCAAAGTCAGCCCAGACGGCACCATTGGCGTGGGAACTGGGTCCAATATTTACGGCTTTGGTAACGTCACTGAATGTTCCGTCCCCTATAACACAAGGAAAAGAATTACGGGAGAAACTAGAATGGATACTCCAAAATCAGGTTGGACACCTTATGATAATTACCAAATCCAATAATTCTCTTAAAAAAACAATTGAGAAAATGTTGAACCAATTTAATATGTTGTAGTGAATGTAGATGGTGTCAGGATCATAAAGCAAGTAATGCAAGTCCAAGGCCAAATATGTACACTGCTCAGTTCTCCTCTTTCTATATGGACACCTTAAAGTTTATAAGCATGACTTTAATATTACTTTTCATCATTATTTCAATTGAAAAGGACAATCCAGACTTCGGGGCATCTGTTCTATTCAGCAGTAGAACTGGAGATTTTAAACTATGGATGAAGAGGCTAGGACTTCTAGTTCAGGAACACTGATCGAAACATTCTATTTCTGATCGTAGCCTGAGTGGCAGGCGTTCGGGGAAGGGAATTCTTGCGCGCCCTTCACACTTCTTTCCTAGTTTCGAACGCTTGCTACGCATGCATGCTATTCTTATCGTGACTAGTTCTAACCCTTATATAATTAGCTGCTGGCCGGTGATTTATGGAGAGACATCATAAGTGGGCCATTTCCGTTTATGCTAGCCTTGGTAATTCCTACTTAGCATTATCAGGCTAATAGAGTATTTTTGGAACATATTACTCAAATCAGCATTTCTTTCCTATTTTCTTCCAAAAAAATTACAAACCTCACAGCAAAACAATCTCAAACTAACCGACTACTTTGCACGAATCGCTCGATCTTCATCAGCGGGGATGTAAAATGAGGTTCGGTTAACAGAGGGGATTGTAAATGGCAGGAGGTGGGAGGGGGGTACAGTCCCTTATCTCTATTTCTATTTCCGTTGAGATATCCGAAAGAGAAGGGAAAATTTTCAATTTTTAGCACTTTTTCTTCAAATAGCAGTACTAGTGGTTTTAGTGCTACAATGGAACGTGGTAACGTAAAATAGCTCAGTTTGTTTCCTCAGCTCTACCTTCAAAACAAATCAATTAAACTGTAGAGAATAATGGGTACGCTTATATTGGTCACTTGTCCTACAATCACGTATAATCCTTTTAATCTCTCTTTCTATGAAAAATGTTGCGGTTGTCGCATAGATATGATCTATTATTGTCTTTCTTATCCAGACAGCGTAAAAAGAGGCGTCTTGCGAGGTCTCTTAACGTAACCGAAGAATACAATACAATGCGCGAGTACAAATATCGCAAAACTGCAGCACCCCGTCGTAAGTAGATATCGCTAAAAACAACAATAAAACTTTTTCTAGCTGTCTATTAATAATCCCCGCAAGGCTTCAAAGGTAAAGAAAATTAGCAAAGGTATTACTTTAAAAATGTTAAAATGAAATCGTGAATTTAATTTATTCCACTTTAATTTTTAGTCCATCAAGTTCACCTCAGAGCATTGCAAATTGAGTTATACATATTGGAGCGGAACTGAGTTTTTTAGTTGTTAAACGAATGAAATAATCCATTTTCAAAACTGTCACAACTATTTTCAGCAGTTATTCTTTCTCGTTTGCTTTGGCGAAGGAGATAAACAACCGTTAACTTAGACCCTCTCAGCGTTTTTATAACATTTGGCGAGAACTAACACTGATTATAAGCGAATATCCATTGACAAAGAAGCTGGAAAGAAAGCATCGAAATTAGCAAAGTTACCAAGTTTAGCGAGCGAAGATTAATAGCTCCGCCAAATTATGAACCTTTACACCCGTTTGCGGCACGGTGGTAAAAACTCGCCTTCACCGCACAAACTTCTGTAGGATTTAGCGACTTTGGCGAGCTGTTCCTTCACTAGTTTTAAGTTTATCTCTCATCTATTCAATACATCAGTTATAAACGAAACTATGGGTCACTTCTTTAGTTTTCACTTAACGTTGACAAGTAAATCTTTGCCTATATTTGTACAAAGGGATAGTGAGAAGAAACAGAAGAACGATATTCAGTCCAATTCTCCTATCTCGGCCTAATGTAAGGGAATCCGGATTCCCGAGTCCGAAAAAGCTGGAATACAGCTCAAGGAAGCCGAAACCCCTCTAACGATTGGAATCCGGAATCCAAGATTGACAAAGAACAGCGTTTGTCACTCGTCTGCATCGAACAGTTCCTCTGCATAGCTTCTTCCCTGAAGTGTCCTCCGTAATTTATATACAGATAATGCCTGGTATCACCAACCGTAGTCACATAAAGATCCAGATCTCCATCTTGGTCAAAGTCAGCCCAGACAGCACCATTGGCGAGGGAACTGGGTCCAATATTTACGTCTTTGGTAACGTCAGTGAATGTTCCGTCCCCTATAACACAAGGAAAAGAATTACGGGAGAAACTAGAATGGATACTCCAAAATCAGGTGGGACACCTTATGATAATTACCAAATCCAATAATTCTCTTAAAAAACAATTGAGAAAATGTTGAACCAATTGAATATGTTGTAGTGAATGTGGATGGTATCAGGATCATAAAGCAAGTCATCGAAGTCCAAGGCCAAATATGTACACTGCTCAGTTCTCTTCTTTCTATATAGACACCTTAAGGTTTTGTATGACTTTAATATTACTTTTCATCATTTATTTCAAGTGAAAAGGACAATCCAGATTTCGGGGCATCTGTTTTATTCAGCAGTAGAACTGGAGATTTTAAACTATGGATGAAGAGGCCAGGAATTCTAGTTCAGAAAAGAAACATATTCAACAGGGCCCTTATGATACACCGTCTCTACCTACGGTACGGGTAGGCGAACATGTTTGCCACGCAGTTATACAAAAGGTGACCATGATTTCCAGATTTGATAATATCATCACTGTTCTACCCGGTAGCCTACCCGTTTCTCCGGGGTAAAAGGCCATCTACCGATATTCACGGCCACGCGTACAGGTAATTTACCCGGCGTACTAGCACACGGAAACGATGGAAACGGTGTATCTTAAGGTCTGTAATTCTGATCACACGGTTGGGGAAGGGACTTCTCGTGCACCCTTCGCTCCTTTCCCTTCTCTTTCGAAAGCGTGCCACACAGGTGTATTGTACTCATTACTAAGTTCTATTCAGCAGCAGAAGGGTAGATTTTAACCTATAGATTAACAGGAATTCTAATTCAGGAACATTCAACGAAAAATTCTATTTCTGATCGTAGCCTGCGTGGTGGGCGTTCGGGGAAGGGAATTCTTGAGCGCCCTTAGTTCACGCTTTTTCCTTAGTTTCGAACTCCTGCTACGCATGCATGCTATTCTTATCGTGACTAGTTTTAACCCTTATATAATTAGCTGCAGGCCGGTGATTTATTGAGAGACCTTTTAAGTGGGCCATTTCCGTTTATGCCAGCCTTGCTAATTCTACTTAGCATAATCAGGCTAATAGAGTATTTTTGGAACATATAACTCAAATCAGCATTTCTTTCCTATTTTCTTCCAAAAAAAATTACAAACCTCACAGCAAAACAATCTCAAACTAACCGACTACTTTGCACGAATCGCTCGATCTTCATTAGCGATGTAAAATGAGGTTCGGTTAACAGAGGGGATTGTAAATGGCAGGGGGAGGGAGGGGGGTCCAGTCCCTTATCTCTATTTCTATTTCCGTTGAGATATCCGAAAGAGAAGGGAAAATTTTTAATTTTTAGCACTCTTTCTTAAATAGCAGTACTAGTGGTATTAGTACAATGGAATGTGGTAACTTAAAATAGCTCAGTTTGTTTCCTCAGCTCTACCTTCAAAACAAATCAATTAAACTGTAGAGAATAATGGGTACGCTTATATTGGTCACTTGTCCTACCATCACGTATAATCCTTTTAATCTCTTTCTATGAATAATGTTGCGGTTGCCGCATACATATGATCTATTATTGTCTTCCTTATCCAGACAGCGTAAAAAGAGGCGTCTTGCGAGGTCTCTTAACGCAACCGAAGATTACCATGCACAAGTACAAATATCTCAAAACTGCAGCACTCCGTCGCGAGTAAAATAAGTAGACGTTGCTGAAAACAATAATAAAACTTTTTCTAGCTGGTTGACCAAGGCAAGGAGAATAATTTAGTTATTAATAATCCCCGCAAGCCTTCAAAGGTAAAGAAAATTAGCAAAGTTATTACTTTAAAAATGTTAAAATGAAATCGTGAATTTAATTTACTCCACATGCACTTCAATTTTAAGTCCATCAAGTTCACCTCAGAACATTGCAAATTGAGTTATACATATTGGAGCGGAAGTTTTTTAGTCGCTAAACGAATGAAATAATCCATTTTCACAACTGTCACAACTATTTTCAGGAGTTATTCTTTCTCGTTTGCTTTGGCGAAGGGGATAAACAACCGTTAACTTAGACCCTCTCAGCGTTTTTATAACATTTGGTAAGAAATAACACTGATTATAAGCGAATACCCATTGACAAAGAAGCTGGAAAGAAAGCATCGAAATTAGCAAAGTTACCAAGTTTAGCGAGCGAAGATTAATAGCTCCGCCAAATTATGAACCTTTACACCCGTTTGCGGCATGGTGGTGGAAACTCGCCTTCACCGCACAAACGTCTGTAGAATTTAGCGACTTTGGCAAGCTGTCCCTTCAGTAGTTTTAAGTTTATCTCTCATCTGTTCAATACATCAGTTATAAAAGAAACTATGGGTCTCTTCTTTAGTTTTCACTTAACGTTGACAAGTAAATCTTTGCCTATATTTGTACAAAGGGATGGTGAGAAGAAACAGAAGAACGATATTCAGTCCAATTCTCCTATCTCGGCCTAATTTAAGGGAATCCGGATTCCCGAGTCCGAAAAAGCTGGAATACAGCTCAAGGAAGCCGAAACCCCTCTAACGATTGGAATCCGGAATCCAAGATTGACAAAGAACTTTCAGGAATCCAGTGGCTGGAATCGGGAATCTACGGCGTGGAATCCAGAATCCAGGTCTCTTTTGGATTCCTTTACATTGGGCGACCTATCACTTGCTCACTTACCATTGTTCTTATACAACACACTTCGGTCATGAAACACAGTGAAGTAAATATCTTCCATTCCATCCCCGTCATAATCGCCGACCGCTGCTCCGCCAGTGGCATGCTCAGGGGCGCAATACTCTCCAGGAATTCGTACTTTGTTAGAGGAGTTTACTTGAGGTATTACTTTATCAAACACACAGTGAGGGCTCAAGGCACCACTCATGCGATGTACGTGATGGAATCCAGCTTTCTATTGGGAAATGAAAGATACGTGTATTAATTATATCAACTATTTAATTATATTCATGAAAAAAAATTTCTAGATTCCTAAGCACTAAAGGGAAAAGAAATTTTTAAAAAGTGTCGGTACAGAAAAATATGTAAAACCACTAAAGTTTTCCTTACGCATTAATTTCGGGCCTGTTTTGTTCAGAAACAGGTTCTAGGGGCAAAAAATAAATAACTTTCATAACCTCACGTTATATTTTTATATAACATATTTTCACGTTATATATTTTCAAGGTCAAGAAAAATTAAAGTTCTGTCAGTAGCCTTTTCTTTTCAAAAAACAGAAGGTTGTTTAAGCAGGCGGCGAAATTTCGGTTTAAGCCACCGGAACACTATTTAAAAAAGATCTATGATTATAATGAAAACCCGCCACTGATCATTTAAATCAAATCACGTTCGTATTAAAAAAAGTTCATCAGTTGTTTCGCACGAACAGAAAGCGTGATTCTAGTTTTGAACTAAAAGCTAAGGCCCCTTCAAGAAAACAAACGTTAAACCGTTAAAAATTCACTGCTGCTTGATTTAAATTTTGAACTTTGCCCATTTTTTCGTTCAAAACTTAACCATGTTTCCACATCTGTTTCATGGTTTATTGTAACAAGAACTGCAAGACAAATTTCGTGTGATTACAAACAGCCTTAGTGGCGGCGCGAAATCTCTGCATAGTGTACGTGGCAGATAAAACTCATAACCTTCATAACTTCACGTTATCATTCGGCAAAAAATAAGGTCAGGATAAATTATAGTAATTGACATACTTTTCTTTTCAAAAAACAGGAGTTTTTTAAGGTGCGGTGAAGCTAACTGCCTGCCTTAATTAACTCACTGCCTAAGTCGCAGTATAAGTCAAATAACCGCGCCGAAGTATTTATTAAAGAATGACATTGTTCACAATTATCATGAAACGGCTACTGATCAATTTAATCACTGTGATCACGTTCTTAAAGTTTATCACCGGTTTTTCTCACCGAAAATGCAAACAGACAAAACCAGAAGGCGAGACTCAAGTTTGATCTAGTAACGCCTTTAGCACGCTGAACAATTTTTCGTTGCTGGGCTTAAATACCTGAATTATGCCCTTTTCTCGGTTCAATATGAACAATTTTACGAGATCACAAATCAGTGGAGTCGTTCTAGGCTTTGTGTGATGTTTTGATATAAAATGTGGGTATTTTTAACTGTATATGTCTGTGTCGTGGTCCTTCTTTATATAATTTGAACTGTGTTCTTGCCGGTGATTTGGCGAACAATAATTAAAGGTTCAATTCAGTCGACTCTCTGTTATAAAGGACACCGCTAAAAGTCGGACACCTCTATAAAAGAGAGTCAAATAAAGGGAGTAAAGGAAGACAGGGACCAACTCCAAGTGCCCGTTTTACAGAAGAGTCCTTCTAATAGCTCTAGGTGTCCGACTGTATTTTTCCTTCTTTCAGTTAACGTGGTCTTCACAGTATCACATCTCCTTAGTAAACATATTCATCACTAAGTAACACTTCGTTTGGCTGTATTTTGCAGCGAAACAGTAGGTCTGGTGTGTAGGGTGAATAGACCTATAAATATTCGGCTTAACTCAATGTTGTACCCAATTGTTAAGATTCTTTGCGTTTTGTATTTGAATTAGAGCGATTTTCGTTTGACCTTGAAAAGTGGTTTTGGTAAGTGTTCGTTATTTGTTTTATCAGCCAATGGATGAAAAGATCAACATGGACTCTTCGTTTTCCCGCCAAAGAGAACCCTAATATGGAGAAGCATTGTTCGATTGGCCAATCGTGTTGCAGTATCACGTCAAAGTGAAGTATCGATTTCTAGAAAGTTTTAGGGCATGAAGTTTTTTCACCCGAGAGTTCGCTTAACCAATCAAAAGCCACTCGCGATTGTATCCGCTCGATAAACCAATCAAATCTCTCTAGTTCCTCTCGTTTGTTGCTTCTGTTTTGTTCGCGTGTTTTCATTTCAGGGTCAAACGAAAAACGCTCTATAATATCGCATTCACATTTAAATGATATGGAAATTCCTGGAACAAAACGTTTTATTCCCAAAGGGTTTGAATTGTGTACAACATAGAGTTAGCCGAATAGGTCTATTTCTGTTGACTATAGAGAGGCCCAGGAATACTTTTCTCCTTTCAAATCCCAACAGCAATGCCACCCCCTCCCTCCCACCCACCCCAACTCAGAGTTAAGGGGCAAACGTTCTTTTGCTTTTGATGCTGACACGAAAAGCTATTTGATATCATGGTAAGGAACACCTTGTATCTAATATGTGACCATCCACTGTAGAGATCGGCGCGGCCCAGCTTCACTCAGATACAGATATCGCGCCTTAATCACCGTTAACCCGTACCCTAACCCGTATAAATGATGTTCATACCGGTCTGTATGAGTGTGAACATGGCCTTAGAGTCGTGCAAAGGTACCTTTCTTGCGCGTCAAAGGTTAATAATTACAGAACTTCTCTTTATATACCTTCCGTATACAGCTGTCAGCTCTCGCCTTGCGGACAGCTCCCTACAACGGACACTCCGATAAAACGGACAGCAGCTAAAACCCAGGCAGACGTTTGACTGAAACTTACTCCCGCTATTACGGGCTCTCGCTAATGAGGACACTAACTTGAGGTCTCTATAGTGTCCGCTATAAAGAGAATTGACGGTAAATATAATATCGCGGTCGTTGAGAACATTGGACTCTCTGAACCCGTACTGCTTTGCCCCTGCTTTGCTGCTCGCTCGCTGCAATTTAACTTTGTCCGACGTGCACAGCTTTGAAGCCAAAAAGGGGATTCAGATGGCAACTTTTCGTCCGGAGTTACTTTTCCACGAGTGAGTTGCACTCTATTTTGCTTGCTATTTTGCGATTTCTTTTGCGTCTTAAATTGATGACTGTCGCAGTCAAATTATTGGTGATTTTTTTTTGCTCAGACACTTAGATTGCTCATTCAGCTGGAGGATCTAATTCACTGTCATCTGAAGTAATTTATAAAAAAATTAACATGATTAATGGCTTGATAAGCTGTCTTGCACAGTTCTGAAATTGTTTTGATTAAAATGTTAAAAGACAAGAAAATGTGTAACTATCAAATCATTTTATGGTGGAATGGATAACAAATAGATTTTTAAATACCTGGTGTACATCTTCAAACTTTGAGTTTTGTCCAGCATCATCGGCATACTGATTCTGCTCAGTTGATTTATCTTCAATGCAGCTTCTAAACGTTAGATTTAAAACTGCATCGTTTGCAAGCACTTCGAGCCTATCCAAGTTTGCTTGTCTGGTCCAATGGTCTCCTTTCTCGTCGATTCGTCGCTCTGTCCAGTAACTACCATCTCGAACTTCGTACAAGTCTTCTTTAGGGATTAACGTTGGCGTGGAAGAAGTTGAGGAACGGATGACAAATAAAATCGTCAAGGCAAAGAACAAAAAATCTCTCGACCTTAGTTCCATCCGTATCTCTGTTTTTCGGTGAGCTTTGCCGCGAACAAGGAAAAAAACACTTGGGAAGTCAATGCTGCGATAGCTAAGTCCGTTCAGGTCAATGCAAGGCGCTTTGATTTAATTAATCTGCCCTTTTCTTTTCTTTCCTGGTTGCATGTTTACTGTATATGACAAGCTGCGCAATAAAGTTATCTTTCATTCCACAGTAGCTTCTGTTCAATCATTTTTAATAAAGTGAAACATACTTTCAAAACCGCCTGTCGCGTGCTAGATAGTTTATTAGTTTTCATTGTTCCTAAATGCTTTTGCTTTAGGCGTTTAAACTTCTCTTTCTTTGCGGCAAGGTTATTTTGGGCCTAAGTTTTGAGGTTGCATCCGGAAAACACTCAAGAATCTCTGACCATGAAAAGTTCTTTCTTTTCCGCATCGTGCACAAAGATATCACGGTCTTTATAAATTGTCTTTATGCTGAAGTAATAACAACGTAATAATACTTTGCTCTATAAGAATGTAAAACAACGTAACTCTTTGGGATACCAAGTTTGACTCAGAAACATCAAACAGATTTAATAATAAAAACCATTTATTGCGGTTTGTTATTTGCGTTTTTCCTTTAATTTTCCACTTTTTATTTTGTTTTGTTTTTGGGCAAGTTCCAAGGGTAAAGATTTTGAAAATGAAACTGTCTGCGAATGTTCACCAAAAGTTTCATTGAGATTATTATTCAATCAATGGCGTAAGCATTAGTACTTATCATATTTTAACTGGGAGTTAGTTGTCTGTGTTAGAGAAAATGTCTGATCCATGCAGACAGTTTACAACTGTCTTTGAATGTGTGAAGAGGAAACCAGTGTCGTCGTTTTTCTAATTAAAACTAGTTTCGTGAAAGATACGTCTAGAACATCTTTCTGTCAGAAGGTAGATGCAACACTTTTAGTGAGCTAAATCGATGGAGACCTATCTTTGAGGAACGGCTTTTCGACCATAGGTACTATAAAATGTGTAAAAAAAAAATTTTTGCAAATAGAAACCAAATAATAGTAATCAAGTGGTATTCAGTCCCTTTTTAGCCACTCCCTTCCATTAAGAACAGTTATGTAATCATTTTGACAATAGCCTATGACTAATCATTGTTTTTTTCTGCCCGCAAATTTTCCTATAAATAAGTTGAAAAGACACACTAAATATCTAAAAAGATGTTTAAGTTAACATAATTAGGCATGTCTGACATGTTTGGGCTTTTATACATTGAGTGGGTTGGCGGTACTTTAAAAACTAGCTTAGCGTAGAGTTACTTTTGAAAAGCGATAGCGTACAATGTTTAAGGTCGGTACGACGCCATACGGTTGCTCTTGAAAAACACGAATTAGTCCAGGGCACACGTCTAAGGTCATATTTACCGACAAAACAACAGACAGATTTGGTAAATCGTTCATTAAAAAGAAAAACAGTTGCTAATTTTTTATTGCGGTGTCAAAACCGGTGCCGCAAGCAGGAGTTTTTGTGGATACAATAGAAAATAATATCTTAATCTATCATTCACGCTAGGCGGTTTTGCCATGCTACAACTTTATTAAAACTTAAAAATAGTGCCATTGTCATTGATGCATGCATGATGCCTTCGTTTCAAAACTGTACTAAGCAGCTTCAATTGATAGGTTTTTAATAACCTTCAAACAAAAGGAAGTGTCGTGAAAGCAATAGAAGAACTTAACACTGAAACACCAAAGTAAGTGATCAGGTGCTCTCTTTATAAAAGTAGGTGCAAGCTTCTGACCCGTTTGAAAGTATTCTAACTGAATGTTTTCTCTATGCTTAGGAAGGTACAGATCTTTGCAGTTTGATGGCTTTCAAAAGAGCAATTGCTGTTTCCTTGTGGATTCTTGCAATTCAGTCTTTTACTGATCTGATTGCAAGTGAATGCCAAGGTGGTAGAATGGTCGGACCCGTGCCCACAGTTACAAATGAAAGGTATATGTTAATCGATATAATAACTATACCGCCGGTTCTTGAACCGTCCAGATTATTTTAAGCCAAACAACAGCACTGACGATCTAGCAAATGTTTGTTTTCAAACTTTTCCATCCGATTTGTGCCAAATCCGATGCCTTCCTTATACTCAAACTTTGAGTCTAAATTGGAGCATTCCGGCCAACAAAACAGCCAAGCCAACTAAACGACGTTTAACTGAAAAACCAAAAAAAAAGAGCGATAGACAACTTGAAAGGACTGCTAGATTCTAAAAAGGCTCAAAACGTCTTGTAAGTTAGATCATCCGTTATATAAGCATGCAAGCAAATCATCGACAATGATTTCAACCAGCTTTTAAACTTGTTCTCACCCTTAGTTTTGGTGCCGGTGAATCATGTTGTAGAGAAAAAAATTGTAGTCCTGATTTCACCTTTTGAGACTCCAAGAAGTATCTATTAAGCAATATAACCGCTGTATTTTTATACTTTGAAAACAAACGAATACTTCAAAAGTTTTTTATGTAACGAAATGCAACAGCATTCTGCTGAAGGAAGAAATATGAGGTTTCTTCCTTATTGCAACTTTTGCCGGACAACAAAAACAAGGAATTCTACAATGCAACATTAACATATGCAAAGGAATGTGCTGCTCTGTGGTTTTAATTTGGATGAAAGGTTTCATTCGCAAGCATTTGTCTTGTACAGAGGTGTTATAACAGCAGATTTTAGCAATGAAATATCTATTTCCTAACAATTTTACACATTATTTGAGGAACAAATAATGGGAAAAGCACAAATAAACAATACAACAGGTGTAGTAAAAATCACAAAAAGGGACAAACTAATTAAAAACAGATCATTGTTTTGAAAAGAATTGATATTTGTGGGCAATTGCAAACGAATTGTTCAGTCTCCGATCGGTTTCGTTTGACACAGCATCACGATCTACACGGCACATAATTAAACTCATTCTCTCACTCTGTGAACTGTGCGTTTGTTAAAATAACACTTGTCAAACGCAAATAAATTGATCATTTTTGAGGCATGATTGAAATGTTTTAAGCATTTTTGACTTTATTAGAAGACCTCTAGTTGCTTCTCTTGTACAACAATAAAAAAATCCACAACAATGATACGAAACGTCGAGGTAACTTTATGCCTAAAGTTAGTTGAAACAAACATTTAGTTTAAATTACTTTTTCGGCCCATACACACTGTGAGAGAGAGTTGAGAACTGTCTTAGAGTTCAGTTCAGAGGACAGAAATGTTAAAGCTGGATGCAAATCAAAAAATTGGACATTGAGTGAAGTTCTTTGATATGGTTGATGTTAATATCCAGTTAACTGCAACACGAATTTACCCAAAAAGGCAATTCAACAACTGCTTTTAATTTCCTTTTGAAATTCATCTTTACTCGTCAGGAAAAAACATAGTGAATGAAAAAAAAATACTGACATATTGTCCGAGAATCAGTGTTCAAGCTAAACTTCAATACTATCTACTAGGCGTTTAGAGGGCACCTCGAACAATAAAGATCACGTGCGATGGGGTGCGGCTGAAGAGGACCTGGTACGTGATGCACCGTCAATGTACGCTGACGGCATCGCTTTGCCTGCGGGCGCTTGTACGCCTGAACAGAAGCAAAATGGGAATTGCAGATATATGGACGCAGTTAATGGGTTTGGATCTAATAGACCTTCACCGCGAAAAATCAGCAATGAGCTCTTCCAGCAGGTAGGCTATACTCGGATTTGGGTTAATGACGATATAAGAGGGGTTTTAATTCCTGCATTCGGAACTTTCAACTTAAATAACTAACGACTTTACTTATACTAATCTCCTTCTAGGCTTCGGCATTTCGAGGGAACTTTGTGGGAATTTTGGATACATTGTTGTGTATTAAAAGAATAAAAAGATATAATTCCAAGCTATTGTATTGGCAAGGTGATGTAAATATATGGAATGGTCTCCCTTGGGAACGGCTTTACATTGAAACTACGCTTATGCCATATTTGAAGGATTTTGGAAAGCTAACTGAAGACGTAGAATTTGCATTTTTCCTTTATAATATCCTACTGCAAAGCCCAATAAATATTTTTTTACTGTTTTATTGCAGCTCGACTCAAAGATTAGTGCTCGCCGCCTCAGTGACTTAAGCCCCAATTTTGGGCAGGTAATAAAACTTTTTTTGCTCAATCGCTTGTTTATATAGGTTGGTTATTTCAAGCAGTTGTTCTTTCGAAAAGCATTCATCTTATCTTTGTTTAACTGTTACAAGCATGGTTTTGTTTGATCCGCTGTTGTTTGGTATTGTGTCAGGAATGACTATGTATAATTTTGTCCTTTTAAACTGTGTAAACTAACACGATCTGCCATCCAATGCAGTTCCTAGCGCATGACACGGATTTGTCTGGTCCTATGTCTGGAGATACGTTTACAGAAGTTTTAAGCGATGTATGGCTTCCCATTGAAGTTCCTAAGGTCAGTTGTAACGTTTTGAAGGACTTGCATCCTTGTATCAAACAGGTTTCCGGCCTAATGCACTTCCCCGTATAAACGCCCTCCCCGGAATAAGTACATCAACCCCTCTACCAAACTAGCAGCTAAGTACCCCACCTTACACTCTCCTTACCCCTCCTTATAACTCTCTGGGGTGAAGATATCTTTCACAAGGAATGGCCTCATAGCCTCAGTCGTTCTTGCCTTACTTCATCTTTTACTAAACCGGCATCAGAAAAGTAGATTCTTTTAAAATTAAGTCAGTTCCAGTTATCTCCGTATGAATGCTACTATAGCTGGCCTCGATTAACTAAATAGGCAAGGTGCATAAACTGAGAAAATGCTTTAGCTTAACGTACTTTCTTTGATAGTATTCCCAATCTTGTACGGATTTTGAACTCTGAAGCAAATGGCATCGATATCAAATCGCCTGTTAATTTGACAAAGAGATATCAACAAATATTTAGTTGACCAGGCAAGGCGAGCATTGACTAAACCACTTCT